AAGTAGCGGAGCCAGGGGCCCGCGGTGCTTAGAGCAGCGGAAAAACACTCAAGTAGCAGGTAGGCCGGTACCGCACCCAGTAGCAGTAGATGTGCTGGGTACTCCAGGTCGAGCAGAAGAAGACAAAGTTGGCATTTTTAGAGGCCCAGTAGCGGTAGGCTAGGTCTAGGCCGGTACCAGTCCATCCCGTCTGAGTCTAGAGCCTGTACGGGCAATATCAGAGTCTGCAATGATGTTTCCCCCCGAAAGGGAGGAGGTACCGGTTGCTTGGGAGGCCAAGCGCCCTGGAAGTCACCGCCCAGGAGGCAAGCAGGCCGCTATATCAAGAGGCCGAGGCAAAAGCTCGGCCTCATTCTTCAGTGTGCAAGTTTAGCGACACGCTGCTGGAGCTCTGGCTGGAGTGGCGCTGGGTACTACAGCGCTGCTGGGAGGAAGAAGCCGGGAGCTTCCACCTTGGCTATGGTGGAGCAAGGTGGAGCTCTACCGGTAGGTGGAGGAGGGAGAAGGGGACCAAGGAGGTGAGTGGTGGGGTACTTACCTGGCTATGGTAGACACCATCTTCATCACCTTGTTAGGCGCTGCATCTGGAAGGCCCCAGTGGGGGTAGTGCAGCACCAAGGAAGCTCGGGACAGAGTCAGGCATGGCGGTTGAGTAGGCAGCGGCATAGCTGCATGGAGTTGACCTGGGGACAGAAGGGCAGCGGCATAGCTGCTTTGGGTTGTCCTGTGGACAGGAGGGAGAGCCCTCAGTACTCCGCCATAGCCTCGGCCTGTATTGAGAGGAAGAAGAAGGGTGGCCATGGCTATGGTGAACCTCATGTTGTGCCTGCAGTAGAAGTGGGATTCGAGCATTGATTCTGGTACAGCCATTCAACATTATTATTGTTATTTCTTGTTTGAATAAGAGGGGAGGATATAAGGAGGAGGAGATTGGTTGGCGAGGAAGAAGAGCCTTGTAATTGGTCTATGCTGGAGTACATCATCTTCTTCTTCTTTCTTACTTCTCCTTCTTCTTCTTTCCCTCTCTCTCCTCTCAAGTTCATTCATTTCTTTTTGCAACTGGACGGCATTGTACTTTCTGATGTTTGTATACTTTGAAATTGGCCAGGATCGTCACATCTCTCTCTCTCTCTCTCTCTCTCACACACACACACACACACACACACACACACACACACATACACACACACACACACACACAGATCATGATACGCATGATACGATGCATTAGGACTGTTCACTATGATTAATTATTAACTTCGCAATGGGTGCTTGACTTTCTGAGGTTATGCTATAGCGCAATCACTACATGGTTGCCATAAGTGCAATCACTATATGGTTGCGGCTTAGTGGTTTTGCACATAAGGCGGAGAGAAAGTACTTGGGCATTTCAAGCTTCTTGGTCATTCATTGTGGCTCGACCGGGATGGGGAAAAAAAAAATGGGATGAGCTGAGGACATTGGGAAGTATAAATCAGATCAAGAACAATATAGTAGTCAAGAAGAGGAAGATGCCTAATTGAGGTTCTGTCTGAAGGGTTGGGCTCTATATGAACAGTTGAGCAGAGACTGTTGGTGTCTTCATCCAGGTGAATCCAACTCAAGTGCAATATGGAGCACATACCCTAATGAGTCCCTGCTAGCTGCATCTTCCAGCATTGCATGCAACTGTGCACACTGGCTGGACATCCTCCACAAACTCACACCTTCTGACGAGTACTCTGCTGACGAAATGAATCCATCACGGATGCACTTATATGCCTTCAGCGAGGGAGCGATTGCAAACAGGTTGAATGCTAGCTCCTGCAAGAGTGGCTTCATATCACCTAGCTGGCAGTTAGGTTGCTCTCGAGTCCCTGGTGAGGTGCCATTCCCAGGTGAAACGCTCCTTCCTGACGCTGCTGAGCCTGCATCTTGCCCGCCAAATGCTTTGCAATCAAGAAGGTCCAGCAGATCCTCCACTGTCCGAGCTTCAAAAGAAGGTGGAAAATCTCCTCGAGTAGTTGGTGCAACAGCCTGGCCAAACAAATAAAGCCAAGAGCGCCTGGTTAAAGACCAGACTGCTGCAGGAGCTGCACAGGAACTGGAGTAGAAGCCCATTACAAATTGGCGACCTTAACATCACCTGTGAATAAGAGACCATCACATATTGCCTGTCGGCAGACCGAACATTCAGGTGTGTGACTGGGTTGTCAACGGTGACATTATGAAATTTTCAGCTTCGCTGCCTCACAAGGTGATTCGAGGAATTCTCGAGGAAGCATCTTTGTACTTTGAGCGAGTGATATCCTTCACATGAGTCACATGCCTTTTTCTAGCATGCTCTGAAATGTTGTCAATCAAGTAGAAACAGAAGCCTTTCCATGCATGCTGGCAAGTCATGGGGTGTCTGAGCTGTGCAGGTTGGTGGAGGTGCAGGTAAGGAACAAAGGTGGATGTGATGTGACAGTCGACAAATGGGCAGGCATGCAGGTGGGTGTGTGACTGCATACTGACAGGTAGATAGGCAAGCTGGCATGCTGGTGGGCATGCGGATAGGAAGGAGGACCGTTTTACAATGCTCACACTGTCATATCACTGCACCAGCATGCCATCTCATCATATCATTGCACCATGACAAAACAAAGTCAGCCCAGGCCATCGCCACGTGACGATCCTCGTCATCATATTCTTATTTTCGCTCGATTCTCGGCATGGAATTTTTCCCGTATCGCAAGTCAAATTGTCATTTTGGAGTCAGTTCTGTTTTGCAGATTGCACAACTATGGCCATAAAGGTCAGAATTTTGTTACGGTTAAGTGTGTCCTTACTGCAACTGTGTTCACGCCGCAGACGACTTTCCAACGAAGACACAGGTATGTTGAGCTCATCCTGGGCAAGATGGCAGGATTGGCCCTTGAACTTGGGGCAACACCTGATGGTGCTACCCCCGGGATCTAAACCTGGGTGTGTACTCGTGGGCGTGAAATATATCAACTACTTTTTTCAAGGACGACGGTCTGGAGATCATCTAAAAGCTGACCGGCCCCAGGCAATTTCGTTTTACTCGTCAAGTTCCATCATCTCGACTCGAACTCCGGTCTGTATTTCAACAATTCGTGGGTATACCCACTGACCTAGGCTCTTGGGTTCTATCAACTAGTTTTTAACTCTTTCTTTATTTAACTTTTCAATTTCTACCTAACTCTTCAGCCAGTAGAGAATTGGGAAGTGCAAAGAGGAAGGAGTTGTTAGGAAGTGCAAGAGGAAGGAGTTCTTGCAGTGCCCCCTATAGTCTTTAATGCAGGGTAGGCAGATAACTACCTTCTTCCCCCGAATACAACGGTAATTATAGCTGTATTTGGGGTATATTTCAGTCTAAATACAGCTATGATGCAAGGAACCTGTTACATACTTCAATGAGTATGGGCAGAACCAAAGATCAACCAATACAGGATGAGCATGTATGCAGCGGAAGTCTGATAACGAACTGACTCACATAGACTGACTCACATAGACTGACTCACATAGCATCACTCCACACACATACAATCGTGAGATGGTGGGGTCTGAGCCATACAAAGAAGGTGCTCAGCCCCGTACACAACATACACAGATGAATGGGGGAGGAGAGACGAAGGAGGTGGGGTAGGTAGGCAGCACTGAAAGTCACCGAGATAGAATCTGATAGGTCACCGATATGGTAGTCCAAAATGTCATCCAACAAGATCAAAGTGTCGAGGACGATAGGTCACCAATGTCGGAGGTA